CAGCAGAGACACGCACCGCGAGATGTACTCGTTGCGGTGATACTCCATCTCTGACTCATGCACAGCAGAGACACGCACCGCAAGATGTACTCGTTGCGGTGATACTCCATCTCTGACTCATGCACAGCAGAGACACGCACCGCGAGATGTACTCGTTGCGGTGATACTCCATCTCGAGCCGCAACGTTTGCTCCGACGTGAAGGTTGTGCGCTGCCGCCGCTGCCGGGCGTCGCGCCGTCGCCTTCGCGCCACTGCAACCAACACAACAATTCATCTTAGAAATAAAATTCACTCGATAATGAAACTTATTCGATAATGAAACTCAATAATGAAACTTACATATAGCATTTCTTCGTGATTAAAATTCTTCACGTCACATTTTACGAACATTTTGTAACGGTGTGGCAATAGTGGTGAATTTAAATTATTTTAATTATATTTGTTAGTCATTACAATGTATGATGGTTTTTGTGTTGTTAGAGGCAGGCACTGTAAAATTTTTTACTTGGGATATTAAGAGAATCTGAAATTCAATTTTGCATTACAAGATCATGAGGCTTTCTCAAATCTTGGTTGGACTTAAACACAAAACTTTTCAATCGCTCTGGATTTATTACCAATTTGAAATTTAATTATAATAAATATGCAAATTTTCCGCATATTTATTCGGTGAAATAATTTGCAAATATTTTCGTTTAATGGTGAATAGATGTACTAATTGTCTTGAAAAAAATGGAGAGCATGTAAAATGATATACATTACGTTATTGTAAAATAAACTATGCTGAAGACAATGATTTATAAATTTAAGTTGTTTAGGTTTTTCGTTATAAAAAATAACCATGAAAATAAAAATTCTTCTGAACAAGTATTTTTTCTACTCTCCTCAGTAATTGGATCAGTCTGAAGTGTTATTGAACACATTTAAAATCCCATAAATATTCGAAAATAAAAAAGAATAATTTCTACATTTGGGAAAAAGAAAATTAAAAATGTTATTTTAATAAAACCGGGATATAATTAATTGAAGAGAGTGGACATTTTTGTGGGACGCCCCATATAGTCGTGAACTTTACATTGCAATAAATGCTGAATTAAATGAGTTAACTTTGAATTTAATTAACTAAATGCTGAATGCTTCAGCAAAATATTATACTTTCCTCATTTGGGCATCTTGGTGCCTACAGAAATAAGCACGAGTTAGAGTGCATGGGAAAATTTGTGTTGGTTTTGTTGAAATTTTAATTTTGTATAGAAAGATTCAGTTGACTTTCGTGTCTGCAGATATTAAAACTGAAATACTTCCTTGCAAAATCTATTTGAAATAATTTTTTTTAATCAATCGTTTTCAACATTTTGTTCAATAATTTTATTGCATTTATACCCATGAACATATCGTAACACGTGCTTCTAAGAATTTTTTTTCCTAAATCAAACGTTTTTAACATTTTGTTCACTAATTTGATTGCATTTATACCCACGAACAAATAGTAACACGTGCTTCTGATTTTTGATCGTATAAGCGGACAATGTGACAACACTCACCAACGTATCGACATTTGGGACACGCGACCAGTAAAGTTGGACAAAAGTTTTTGTTGCGGCTGCGGGCCCGGGCCTGGTAATTATGAGACTTAGAACACCTCACAACAGCCCCAATTACCAGAGCAATAAGTGTCTTTAACTCATCCTACCGAAACCATTCATCCAGCACCAGGGCGTCCTAAACACTACTGAGCTCAACACAATTGCCTTTCTTTTGATGAGTTGTGGAACGCGTCAAGGGACGAGCGGTCACCGCGCGCCCACACCGAACTGAACTCTGGTTCTGGTGACCGAGTTACGAGAACTACATTTGTTCAAATTATTGTCTTTATATTCTAGGATAATAATAGTTTTTGTGTTACTGATAAGTTAACAACAAACAATTCTGGTGACCGAGTTACGAGAACTACATTTGTTTGAATTATTGTGTTTATATTCTAGGATAATAATAGTTTTTGTATTACTGATAAGTTATGAAACAAAACCAATTCTGGTGACCGAGTTACGAGAACTACATTTGTTCAAATTATTGTGTTTTATTCCAGGAGAATAATGGTTTTTGTATTACTGATTCGTTAACAAACACAGTTCTAGTGACTGAGTAAAAAAACTACATATACCTAAATTATGTTGATATTCCAAAATAATATTAGTTTTTGTGTTGCTGACGAGTGGACAACGAAACTCCAGTTTTGTTAACCGAGTTACGAAGACTTCATTTAATTTTAATTGAACGATTTTGAAATATATATTTTAAGAAAGTAATAGTTTTTATACCCACTTTGTCTGTCATGATGGAAAAACTCAATATTATGAAGTTCTCCGAGGCTTCAATTTCGAGAAGCTTGATATTTTCAATAGCTTGTTGTCTTCTTCAGTTAATCTGTTTTCAACTGTGAATGACAACATGAAAGTTGCCTTTCAATTTTTCACGACTTTTGTTCTGCGCGTAATTATCCAGAATGAACTTGAATACACACAATTAACTTAACGCTGCCAACTTTTTATTTATCTTAGAAAGTAGAGGCTTTCAAGTTGGCCTTCATTACAGCACTCTGGAAGTGAGGGAAAGATGTCAAGCGCGACAGCTGTTTTTCACGGACCAATTATTAGGGCGAGCTGGACTCGCACCTCTTGATGCGTGTGGGGTTAAGTGCTGGTCTTCTGTATTGAGGCTTTCACAGACACGGATGTTAATGTGGTAATGTTCCTTGTGATAACGTTTAATGATACCAACACGTGTCTTCAACTCGACTGGGGTGTTTATTGCCTGCTGGTGATGTGAGGTCTGTTCATTTAAAATTTAATGATAAAGACACTTTTTGGGAGCGGGTTTTCTGCCACGATGCTTCTGTTTAAAGAGTATTTTTTTGGCTTGAAATGTGTAAAAAGTTGATGATAACGTTCTCTTTAGTTGCAAACAAGTCTTTTATTTGTTGGTCAAACAATAAAATTAGGGAAAGCGTTCTTTTTATCTATTTTTTTCAATGTCAGATGTCGTTCGTTGTCGTATCTCTCTACTCGTCTCGTTATGTTCCAAATTTGCTATCTTGAAAATCAACATAATTTTTTGTGAAACCAAGTAGCTTTTGAAAGACTGTACTCACATAATTTTATTTTGGCTCTGGATTTAATTATCTTAGTTATGTTTTAAAGTTTTAGGTTGCCTGTTATTGTGTGAAGCTTTTTTGATAGATTTATAGGTACCGTAACTTTCGTTACCTTCGTTGTTGAGTGCGGTAACGCAGTCATGATCCACACATTAAGAGATCACTCGTTGGAAAAATATACATACTGTACAAATTGCTCACCTATTATTGTTGTATCGCTCAGTCATATCTAGTTCATACAGACCATACCCATTCATTTCCGATGCATTTCTCATACACGTTCCATCCATATATAGTTTACTCTCTACTCATTCTACGTTCAGTTGTCGTCAATTTTCTGTTCATCTCCCATGCAAGTTCCACAATTACTTTTGATTAATCTATTAATATTTTTTTTAAGTTTTGTCATCATAAAGAATTAAAATGTGTTACAATAAACTCATCTACACCCCTTCACGTTTATTATTTTTGAAAATAATTTCCTTTTTAACCCGAAATTTCTATGGACTTCAAATTTATGAGCGAGCTAGTGTTAAATGTGCCTTGTGCCTTTTTGTCGAATGAGGCATTTGATGACTACTGAGGTATTCTTTTGTTAGAGATCAAGTCTGTGATGGCGACGGAGACTGGCTTAGTCGTCATGTACACGAGATTTAAATGCGCGTATTACCGTATTATTAAAAATTCTAAATTTGGATGAAATTTTGTGTACGAAATGATTGTGGCTTAAACGGGTTATAAAAATCATAACTCAGCATTATTGCATGTTATGCAAATATTTGTTTTTATTATATGCCGTAGGGATTGGAATTGAACGAAGGTTAGTAAGAAAAGTGATGTTACCCTGCCGCTCTATTTACCATCACCATAAATTTGTATTATATCACACACAGCCTCCCTACAAATGCCGGTTAATTCCTGCTGCATTTCACGCAAAACCTCACATTAGCAATGCCAGTTAACCAGGAGCATATCAATCACTACCTCCCAGACACCACCGAGCTAACCTGCTACCAGCTTATGACAATAACAAATCGCGCCGTACTAAAACTTTACATAACCGTCTTAGACTGCTGGATCACCAATGGCGCTAGCAGCGTTTCCACACATTTTGACACAAAGATTTGTTCTCTTTAAGAATACAGAACTGGATTTAAATCTCAATTTATTCGTAATAGATATCGCTATGACTCGTCTCGTGGGCTTGAAATTTTATTTTTCATCTGTAATAAAGAAGCTTTAGGGCTTTCAATTGGATTGTTTTTCTACCGATACGCACTCGAGTTGAAAATACCACACAACCTAAACAGGAAATTTATCTTTATCTAAGTCACGTCCAGCGAGGAATAACCTATAATTTGCCTTGCCTATTTTTCGATCGTAGTAAGTGATCATTTATCTGATCATTTATTTGCATGAGATATTTTAATGTTAATTTACATCATCTTATTTTCTACATTTGTTTCATTGAACATTTCACCTCGACTAAAGCTCTATCGTGTCTCCACTTTAACTCATCGTTTGTATACGCCAAATTTATTTTATTCGCAACGCGTTTCCACCGCACGCCTGATCTGCCATACGAATGACAGTTGCAATAAATACGATCTTAATTCACGTCTAATTGTATCGGCCGTCATTTATTTAGCGGCTTGTCAGCAAATTACCAGTGAGTGACCATTAGTTAATTAACGACCGCCGTGTTGGTGATCCATCACTGGAAGTGGGTGTCACTAGCACGTGTTGGTGCCTCTTCCTACCAATTAAGTGGTTGTGCCGACCACGACGCTTTTTGCGGCTGGCAAGGGTATTCCAATTGCACTATTTTGAAACTTTGATTGGGTTGTTTGGAAACTTTTCAGTAGAAATTAATTTTTTGAAGTTTCAAATCGTTGGGTTGAAGCAAAAACTCTTTTTTATTTCGTTTCACGTTTACTGGAATGATACCTTTGATGCTTTTTTTCGGGGGAATTTAGACAAGATCAAAATGAAAAGTCTGTAAATACATGTTTTTGCTGACAACTAAAGATGTTTTTGGCTGGTGATTAGAGTTGCGGTAAGCATTTGAATTTTTATGTGCCAATACCGTCGACTAATTAATTTATAGGAAAAAGTGTCTGATGAAATTGGCCGACAATCATTAAACGTAGAAATTGATTAACAATATTTGCACGCATGTATTCATTAAAGAATAGTGAAATTCATCTTATTTAATTTCTCACAATTTTCACTGTATTATATAATGAACCATAAATTTGGTTAGAAAATTTATGAACCCAATTCAATTATAAAAGCAATCAATAAGGTAAAAACAATATTTAAGGGTGAACGCAACCGCTTATTTTACTTCAAAAAATTGTTTATTCAACTGCATGAGTTGGGTCATCATCTATTTGGCGCAGGACCAATTTAAAAGTGAATGATAATTGTAGTCGCGAACAAGCGAGGTGACGGAGATAACGTATGCTATAAACAAGCCTTTATATAAATAAATAATAAATCATGATCTTCAACATAAAGTGATAGTGATATTTGATTTAAAATGAGTTCCGATTGATGTAATGTTACTTTTGAGTGATGGAAACATGCTTCCCCCTGAATAATTATATATACAATAAATATCAAAATTACACAATACCAATAATTTGTGCATGAATGAATGCAAAATTAAATCACTGAAATTACTTGGTGACTTTCAAGAACTTGACTTATAATTTTATTTAAGTTTAAAGAATCTCTGAAGGTTAAAAAAATTATCAACTATATATTCATCCATACTGGTAATAAATAGCACGAGTAATATTTTACTCACAAAAAGCAGGGAGTCCAGGAAAGGAATGTAAGTCTGGCAGAGTCCTGAGAAGGTCAGGTGACGACAGGGTCGGCAATCCCCCAGAAGGATGCATTCCCCCAGAGTGAGGGATCATGGTGGATTCAGGTGCTCCCCACCACACATTTCCACCACCCGCCACACTTAAACTTCCACCAAAGTTCAGCCGCGGGAAGTGATTAGGAGGGGAAGCTGACCGGCTTCTTGAATAGCTGTGGCTTGGCGATCTCAAGGAAGATGGCGGTGATTTCCACTGAGATTCGGGAGTTTTTGGATCGCCACCGGTTATCATAGGGCCTTCATTATCCACCAAACAAGGGTTTATGGCTGGGGTAATGATACGATTATTCATGTCCGAATCCTCGAGGATGTCAGGTGATTCTCTCCCCTGTCCTGGGGTGATGATGAGTCCTGGAAACAGCCTCACCCCTTCTACCGATTTTGCGTAATTCCCTCGAGTGCCGATTTCCTTGAGTTTAGATTCCTCAAGTGGCTTAGCCTCTCTGCGGTCGCTCAAATCCTCCCCAGCGAACGATTTTTCATCTGTTTGTTGTATGAACTTGTCGGGTTTTAGCGAATCTTTTGCAGAAAAGAATATTTTTTCATTTTCATGCATAAACATGTTAAACTTTTGCGCATCTTTCCCGGCAAGTAATTTCTCATCTGGTTGAGATGTCATCTCGTCGAATTTCTTGGTGTTGCTCCCAGTTGAAGATTTCTCATCAGTTTTATTGTGCTGCAGTTTTGACGGAAATTCTTTAAATCCTTTCTCTTGACGAGTCATGACTTCATTAGTAGCAAAGTCGTCTTCCATGATTGCAACGCGACTGAGGTCAAGAGGGGTACAACGATCTCCCAAGATAGGATCAATTGTCCTACCAGTGACCAATTGGTCCTCCTCGTCCTGAACTTCTCGACTGTGTCCTTCTGGTATTGATGTCACTGGGCATTTTTCGTTTTCACGGCTCTTGCTTTCGTTCGGTTGTGTTTTCGATGCAATATCAGTCATTTCGATGGTTAAATTGACCGATACCCTCACTATTGATATCTAATTTTGTTTCGCATTGGTTTTCGTTGATGATATTTGTACGCAATTTATTCTGCCGCTGGGCATCAAAATAAATTCTGTCTTCGCTCATAAATTGAAATTAAAGAATTAAAATTTAACTTCAATCCTAACGAAATGTAAATGCAGCTTCGGAAACTTGAAATATCCGGACTTTCTTTTTATTGAAGTGCCTAAATTAGATAAGAAATTCACGATGTAATACGATAAATAAATTGATTAGGAGTTCTGGTGATTGTTAATGCTACTTTTTATTGAATTGAAAGTGTTAATCGAGATTCATGACTCAGAATTCACTGCAACATCCTTCAAATTCAAAAGAAATCAATTACTATTTAGCAATAGAGAAAACTCGGATACCTCGGCGGGTGAGATAAATTCCAGTTCTACTGTTTCCGAACGTGATTCGTTAATTCACTGAAGCTGTGGACGACGAAGTTCTACGGTTGCCTTCAGATAAATGAGACGCTTCAGGAGTCAGGGGCGCCGTGAAGCTACCTTCACTTGCAGTCACATCCAGAGTCCAGCGGCACTCCAGGCCTCTGGAGGCGCGGCTTCAGGGCGGGGTTTACTGGACTGCCTCTCCAGTCTTTGTGACGCTCCGCCTGGAGCCAAAGGCTCTATTGGCCGAATTATATAGAAATTATACTGGATATTGCATTTGAAAATGTCGTCTTTAATTTTCAGTGCTGGTATGAACATTGAATATTCTGGATTGGGAGTTATGATAATAATTTCTTTTACATAATCTTGAAGCAGCTGTTGGCCAACCAGGCAGAGCATGGAGTCACTCTCTGGAACATCATAGGGTTGAGGCAAATCAATTTTCTTTTTCTCGCCTTTTGCTCTGTATTCGAGGCGGGCTTCAGTCGGCGGCTAAAGGAGGAGCTTGTTTTGCGAAATCCAGAAAAAGCAAACACACAAAACGCATCAGCTTGTAGAATCACTCAAATGTTTACTAGAAGAACACGAGGATATGATCGCCCAGGAGGAGTTTTGGGAGGAGTCCAATTGTCGAGCCCTTATTACACTCAGTAATGACGCTCGAGCGCAGCACTCGTGCAAACAAATGAAAATTTTCGCTCACCAAAAGACAACTCGGAAATTGTTCGCAGATGGCTCCAAGAGACCCAAAGAGGCTCTTTCGCTACCCAATAGGTCGTGCATAGAACATATGAGGTATTTACCGGATGATAGGTTTCATTACTTTAATGTTGGGGTTACGGCCGATGCTTAGTCGGTATGTTTTTTTTATCTATCGGGAGGATTTTTGTGAGGCTTCGTGGCCATTGGAGGAATGGCCGGATCATCACATGCAGTATTGGTGCGCGACTAAATAATATAAAAAAGGCATTCCTAACAACAGCAGCAAATATTCCCATCTACTTTGTTTCGCAGTATACTAAATTTAATTAAAATGTTTCACTCTTCATCATTTAGGCACATACCCTTTTATTCCTAATGAAAATATTGATACATTCTAGGTCTCATCTAGGTTTATGTTCCATATATACACTTCATTTGCAATTTCAACGTCATCAATATATATTGAATCACAAATGTTATTTCTGGTATAAATATAATGATTCATGATTATTATTGATAATTCGAAGCCGTCGATGATGTCGAAATTGAAACGAAACTATAAAACGTCTGGCCAACGCATGCCATGAGCAGGCAGCAAAATTCTCTCAATAGCTTGTCTGCAGCTGAGCATGCATAAAGAGACGCGATAGGCTTACAAAATTGTCAAATTCATCAAACCATGCCTAAATCAAGGTTTTTTGATTGGATATCATATTATATTACTAATTATCACTTCATGCACAATTTCACTTATATTACAATATTATACTCGCATAGGATCTTGATTACAAATTTAAACTTTTTACATTTGAATCAAAGCTTGATTTTCCCTCCAATTTGGAATAGATTTTTTTCCGTCACTTAACTTTTATGGTGAACTTTTTTATTTCTTCTCTTTCGGCTTCAGACTGTCATTGACAAATGCAAAGCCTTGTTGATTAATGAGAGAAAACACGCAGTTTCTTCAACGTCCAATACAAAAACTCAATGATTCCTTTTCCAAAACGCCAAACTCCCAATAAAAACTATATACACACTCGGGCAAACTCAGCGCCAGAGTTTCTTTTACCATTCCAATTTATCGAGTGCCTTTAGTTAGATCCAACATCATCCTTCTCTTTCACGACGTATTAACTCGAACGTTCTGGCAACATTTGTTCGGCATATTTTCCCCCTACAAATCTGGCGGGAAATCTCGCAGCTTGGCTGCAAATCATCTCGAAGCCGACAATGGAAATCCTGCAATAAAATTACGATAAGAAGCCAACAAGCAACCAAGCGCAAGTAAAGATCCGTAATTCCCTCTTGACACAAAAATACTTCCAGGTTTTATCGACTCGGTGGACTGCGGAACGGTGAGTGTTGTAAACTTTTTTCCGACAACCGGGTAAGTGGGTTTGAGAAAGGCACGAAACAAAGTAATCTCAACGCAGCCTACATCGCAGTTTGGTAAATATAACTCAGTAGAGGGCAATTTTAACCGCAGAAATCATTTTGATTTTGAAGCGTTCAGATGTGCGAGTAAAAAGCAGACTTTTTGTCGGTGATCACGCGCGCCAGAAGCTGATGGAATTTATTTATTGTTGGCGGCGGGACTGTTGTGACGAAAAGATTTATGAATCACTTCGTTGAAGCCGTTAGCACTTGCGACGAGATTAGGGTCTTGCCAACGGAGTTGGATTAAAGAACAGTTTCTTAATGTTGCACAATTCTAGAATTTTTAACTGGAGTTTATAAGTGACTGTGAATGGATTGTGAACGATTTCCGATCATTGTTTTTGGATGACCACTGTATATTAATTTTCGGCAAAAATTATTCATGTCGGACTTCACAGTATAATTTTTCAAATATATATCTTCATTATCCTCGCTATCTCCTTTTTCACGGCGTCACGTGGATCCACTGCACTGATAGCTGTACCAACACTGGCGGTACATTTAAGCTATTTAAAAACCCTCTTTGATCTAAATGTTTACGTACATCGTATACCGCAATATTTCTTCTAGCATCAAAATGAATTGAGAGTAATCAACGCACATATCACTCGAGCGTGTACCACCACTTATCAAACTGCAGTTAATAACTTGCATTTGAGGACAAGATCTTATAACTAAATATCGAGTGCAGTGCATATACAGAGTGCAATACTATATTGTACTTGTACTCGCATGGGTATTTGGAAGCTCGTTTGCTGCCGAGTGCGAACCACGGAACTGCCATCCTCCTCCCTTCCACCATCTGGGGTACAGAGGCTTCCTCTTCCTTAGGAGCTTCCTTTTCTCCAGCCCTTTGGAGCGTCCTTCCTCCAGCCCTTTGGAGCGTCCTTCCTCCAGCCCCTTTTGAGCTTCCTTACTCCAACCTCTTGAAGCTTCCTTTCTCCAGCCCTTTATAATTAATTCCTATCATCCCGTTGGAGCCTCCTTTCTCCAGATCTTAGGTGCTTTCTTTCTCCAATTGCTTTTTAAACTTCCATTTTCCAGACCTTTAAAGTCTCCATTCTCCAGCCTTTTTGAGATTCCTTTTTCCAAAATTTTGGGGCTTTCTTTCTCCAGCCCCATAGAGATTAAATTCCCGCATCCATGGAGCCTCCTTCCTCATGCCCATTTCGGTTTTTCAGTTCCAGCCCATGGAGTTTCCTTTCTCCAGCCCAAAGGAAGCAGCATTTCTCACTTTCCCCGTCCACAGAATACCTTCCCCATGAAGGAAGAGGGGAATACCTCTTCTTCCCTATCAGGGAAGAGAGGAATACCTCTTCTTCCCCATGAGGGAAGAGGGAATACCTCTTCTTCCCCATGAGGGAAGAGGGAATACCTCTTCTTCCCCATGAGGGAAGAGGGAATACCTCTTCTCCAAAATTCCGTCTCAGATTCACCACTGGCTCAAATTCCGACTCATATTCATGACTGGCTCAAATTCCGTCTCAGATTCACCACTGGCTCAAATTCCGGCTCCTGTTCACGACTGGCTGATATTCTGGCAAGTTCGTGCTCGTGAGACGTAAGGTGATTTATTCTTACTCACGTTTTACCTGTGATCTTATTCATGCACGTATTATTGTTTCAGTTATTATTTTTGCGCACGCAATTCCTTCTCGTTGTATTCCTGCTTGAATAATTCCCACCCCACAATTCCTGCTAGCGTTATTCCTTTGCGTTATTCCTCCTTCTGTCATTGTTACTCACGTTAACCGTTCTGCTGTAGTTATACCTCTTACTGTTACTCGTTGTGTATTTATTACGTCCCACTTATGTTATTTCAGCTGCTATTCTTTATCATCCCGCGGCACCTGTTATACCTTTTTACATGTATTTATACTCATGTCCTGTTGCTGTTATCCTAAATTTATTTCTATTATCACTTCTGTTCTTGCTATTTAAGTTGTTCTTTCGTCTCATGTATCTTCTTCTATTCTTGTCATCACTTCCATTTCGTTGACTCGTTATTTCCTTTTTATAATTTTATTATATGTAATAATTTATAAATATAAAAGAAGGATAAGAGAAGACCAAAGCTGCAATATTCATTTTATAGACCAGGACGCTTTAGATAAAATCTCTCAACGATCAAAGGACACGATTTTTCTTATAATCCTCGAATTAAGGGCTGGTAGATATTTACAAATGAGTTCACATTAGTTTACACATTGAACAAAACAAACCTCGCACTTACGTTCATACACGTTCTTGTAGGCAACAAGGATCAATGCCTGTATTGACACATATGCCTGTATTGACACATATGCCTGTATTGACACATATGCCTGTATTGACACATATGCATACAACAATACAGCTGTCACCACTCACGCTTGTTTGCCCTACACTCGTATAAATAAACGGATCATATTTACACAAGTTTTACCCATAGCACGAGTGCAGACACATCAATGATACGCTATTTTGCAGGGCCCAGCTGGGCCACGATTATTATTATTTATTATTTACCCACACGTTGGGTAAAAGTTCATCAATATTTGCACAATGCCTCACTCATCGCAGTGAGTGTACACACTCAAGGGACATTTGCACTTTCTGAAGACTTTTGATTATGAACGAGACATAGAATATCCGATTGTTCAATAACTATTTATATAAGTATTCCTCAATGATGCAAAGTTTAAGTCTTAAACAATGGATAAATATCTTTACAGTTTTAAATACAACAACTTTAAGGACCTCGTATGAACATTCTTATTAAATAAATATTAGTGATCTTTGTATAATTCTACACACAGTATTATGCATAAGCGTCGGAATGTTGGAATCTCTCACACTCACTGCTGTATTATAATGAAAATTCAATGAATATTAATAGTATATAGCGCGGCCCGTACTAATACCCTCAATTGTGAAGGCAAAATAACGAGTGCAGTTCGGTAATGCAAGTAGCTCTCTCGTTAGATATTTTACATTTTCTACTTCAAAATTCAATTTTGCGAGCCAGAATTTACTACACTGTGAAAATTTAAACGAGTCTCAAATCACCATCGTTCTTTCATTCCAACTATAATCATGAGTAGCGATGTAAAATTTAATTAATTTAAGTATCTCAAAAAATGACTTATCCACAGAATTCTCTGTCATGGTAGGTTAGGCATCAAATTCAACTAACAAAATTGAATATTTATTTAGATTAACAACAAATAAGAATTTTAATTTTTCAATGTTCGTTGTTTTCACAATTGACTTGATCTGTCACCATTTTAAATTCTTTTTTAAATCTTCGATGAGGTCAAAGCTTGATATGCGGCAGCCGACATGTCTTTTCCCACAACCTATCGAGCCAAATTAAGCGCGATCATTCAACCGAACATTTGTTCTCCTATTTGTAAATGATAACATTCCGTCGGCCCGTTGATAAAGATCACTCGATCGTATATTTGTTCTCCCTTTAAAATGATCACATTCCGTTAGCCAGTCGATCAGGATCACTCAATCATACATCTTTTCTCCACTTAAAATGATCACGTTCCGTCGGTTAATTTCTAAATTTTTAGTTCGAGCATCCTTTTGGTTAAGATTAAAAATTAATACTTCTCATAACGTGTATCTAAAATAATTTTTGTAAAAAAAAGCATAAAAACTTTTCAAATAATTCATTTCTATTATGGTTTCTACTGAACAATAATCTAAATAAGTTTCCACTATAACCAATTTAATGAAGTTGCTACTCCTGCATACATGTGATTCGTACACTATATCGGCCTGGGATTGTCATACACGTATCTATGTTCTCATAAACTATTTTCGAATGACAAATTATATTGGAACCTTTCAAAGAAAAATCATTGCCACGAGCCCAAAGATCTTTACTTGACTTCATGGATCATGGCCAATGAATAAAATTGTTTTCACTTTTTCATTAACTTGAAGTGAATGAATGAAGGAGGGTTTTGCTAGGATATATGACAATTCTGTTATCAGTTGACGATTGACGAGGCTTGACAGCTGACTTCCGACAATCGTGGACTTGTAAAATGGAAGGTATTTGAAACGAGAATAAGTATATACTGTACATCGAAATTGCAAATTCAATCATTACCAATTGGTAAAGTGTGTTGCTGTTATAATAATACAAACTTAATTAAAGTTTTCCAGGAATTAAAATTTACTTACCCTCCATTTTCAGCTTAACACTTCAATTCTACAGACAATATCACCATAGGACAACATACCTATATAACCCCTATGTAATGTTCACAGTAAACATTTACGAAACGTATCTGAGATTGTTAATTATTAATTTTTTAATTACATTTATGTACAAAGAGACGCACGCTTTCGTAAGCTCGTGTGCGGTCCCAAAATCTAACAAGTCTGCATAAAATTCTTAATAATTAAGTACAATAATTTTGATAAATTCCTATTTTGTAATAGCCTAATGTCAAAAAATCTTGACGCTGTTGTATTTCAATATAATATAGTCATGAATACGAATAATCTATTTATTGACAAATCGATTTTTTAAAATAATTAATAAATTTTTTTTAGAAACTTAGTAAAATTAAACTATGATAAATGAATCTCAATATTTACGGATATCAGTGTTAAAATCCAGTAAATTTTGACAAGTAATATTAAACAATTCTAATATTCAGGAGAATAATATTCTAATCCACATATTCTAATCCACATCCACATATTCTAATATGTCGAGAATCAAATTTTACCGAATCCCAATATTTTTCAAATGGACCTAAAAAAATTAACGTAAATGAATTTTTTCGGAAGAATTTCATGCTAACAAGAACCAATTTGTTTCAATTTAATCTTGAATTCCCGTTTTTTTATTCCACCTGTTAACAATCGGATAATTTAAAAATTAAGCATCTTTTTAAAAAATCAGATGTCAGGAATATTGTTCAATCCAGTAATTTAATTTGTTATTTAAGTTATTATCAGTTATTTATTTGAGATTTCAAAGGTTGATAAATGTCGAGTGTAGGAAATTCTCAACAGTGAACAACAAACTCGAAACTAATGAACTACAAGCCGTTAATGCGGTAAAGACACGCAATGACTCACTCTCTCCTCACTATGGTTCTCATTTATAGTTTACGAAAATATTCCTTTAATCTTAGATCATGCTGCTTTTTGTCTCTGATAGAAAAGAACATGCATGTCAGTAGAAACTTTGATATACGTGCAAGAAAATATATAATAAACTCTTCGGATGAACTTTAGATCGGCCTTAGGCTCGTACTCTCAAGTGTGCATTTTTAAATTATATTTTGGTCTCGCTAATACTTTTTTAGCTCCCAAACAAGAGGGGAGGAATAATGACGAACACATGCAATCAGTTTGCATATTCCCTGCACAGTGATTATAATGAAAGCGTGAGAAACTTTTCCTCCCAATTATTTGCCTTATTTTTTAACCTTGTACGTTGATTATTAAGTTTAATATTAGTATAGGCTGGCAGAATTTCTTCTCTTAAGCAAGTTTTGTTAAAGACCAGAGAATTAGTTTTATTTATTAGCTTCTTGTTAGTTTTTTATTGTTTACAATTTCTCAGTTCGGTATTTAAATCATCTTTAGTAGAGCAGGTCTTGAAAGCTCTATGGATGAGGGCGCGTATTGTGCTCTTTTTGTAGCGTTCCGGGCATTCGCTGGCAGCGTTGAGGACCCTTCCGATATCTGTTGGTTTCCGATATACTTTTGTGACAACTGAAAATATTAAAAATGTCTATCGGTAATTTGATTTTCAATCTTCCAACACCTACGAAGAATTTAGTACGACTTATTGAAAAAACTAACAAGAAGCTAATAAATAAAACTAATTCTCTGGTCTTTAACAAAACTTTATTAAGTTTAAATATACAATTCTAGAACAAATTTTGTAACATAGGGTCCATGAATTTTTTTAGACGAAACATTTTCGAAACCTTCAAGAAAAGTATAGCTCTTTCCCTCTTTTGTCTTTCATAATAATCAACTACTCTTTGCTGATTTCATTCGCCTCACATTTCAAATAAATTTTTAATTTTTAAAACCAAATGCTAGAATGCAGTCATTGAACAAACTAATAATACAGGGAGATGAAAATGTGATAAAGGTCAGAAATTACTCTGAATACCCTGTTAGTTCAATACCCTTTTCAATACAGGGTATTCAATACCCTTTTTCTGTTCATTAAACAGGTCCTGCCAAGGAAATGCCCTGACTGCTGACCAAGTGTGCAGTTCATTAAGCCGCATTGATTAAGCATTTCCAAGAGTTCATTGTTCCTATGCTGTACAATAAATGAACAAACAGCTTCTTAAAAAGTAAACTAATAATTTTTTTTCAGCGACTTCGCCTAGCAAGTCATATTTTACTTCTCAAGTTCCCATCTCAGTAAGATATTTGATCTCCAAGTCCCATATAATAATCTTCAATTACATTCCTACGTCATAAACGACAAAATAATCGAATTAATTAAACATGAGCTGTTCGTTACAATTGCTGACATATTTCTTATGGTGTTTGCTTGACATGCATTTTGTACAAAAAAAAACATTCAATTTTCAACAAATTTGCCTTCTATAATGATTTTGCCTAAACAAAGCTAGAAAAACTTTTGTTCAAATTATGCTTAAAAATTGCAGTGAGACAATCTCGCATATTCGCTATTCTGTAATTCGTACATTTTCTACTTACATTAAATTCATGTCGCGACATTGTCACATCATGTTCTCGAGAATTGAGATTACCAGCATTTTCTTCTTTCATAGTCCATAGGTGATTGATTCTTAAATATTCATAGACTATTTAAGGTGATTAATAAATTCTACCTAGTGGAAATTGTGCAATTACTTTAGCATGGAAATCAGCAATGTTTCTCAAGGGAATAAAAAATTCCAGGTTTTCTTGTTAAATGCGTATTCCACTCAGAATTTTTACTTTTTTATGGTAACTCATTTCAATTTAATCGAAGATTGAATCGTTTCGCATTTGCCGAAAATCAAGGAACTTCAATAGAAGTATTCCAATCGAAAACATGAACTGAGGTCGATTTTCTAACAATGTCGAGTTTACTCCAACCATTAAGTAAAGTAGTTAATTGTTTTATTCTCACCATCAGCTCCTATTCACAAGTTAGCCTGAGACATCAATTGTCAATTTGACAATAGCCTGATGGCCCTGCTAGATGATTGATGGCTAATAGCCTAGAAGAGCTCTGCTTGTATTATTTAAACCAGTAACCTCTAACAATCGAAATGCTTGGATCTCGTGTCGATGCCGGGGCCATATATAATAGCAGTCAATATTTCTATCATCTGAAGCGAGGAATCTGGTGGCGAACGAAGTTGTCGCCAATTGTGTCCACTTTAGTGATCATCGAGGTTGATTTATTATAGTGTTAAAGTAATAGTTGGATCCATTCAACTGTTAAAGTAATAGTTGAATCCATTAAACCGTTGAAGCAAATGGATGAATCCAGTAAGCTGTTGGTGAGCAGATGACTCCTCAAGACCAATTAACTGTTGGTGCCAATTGAAAGCGTTGCTAGTTTGGGAATCACGAATTTTGGCTGTAAAGAAAATCCAAATAAACTTATGAATATTATATTAACTTATAGTTAATATAATATTATTCGGAATAAAATAAAATAAATTAGGCAGTTATGCGCATCAGAACTCATCTATAAAGACATTTTAAAATCAAATCATTGATAAATCAGATAAATCTTCTTACTTATAGCCATGCTCAGGGCATTCTTTATTTATAAGCAAAATACAGCCGAAACTTTAATCAAAGTTGCTACATTCACGCGGCAGAATTTATGATATTCTCATCAGCTCGGTTCGAAGCGAGTAAAACGTTTCATTGCCCAAATTTATTTAGTTATGTTGTTTGATACTAATGATCAAACAATATAATTAAATAAATTTGGACAATGAAACGTTTTACTCGCTGCAATCTTACTTTTTGCCGCAGTTGTATCAGATTCAATAAAGTAAGATAAGTCTTATCTTCTTCATCGACTCGGAAAATTATTTATATGACTTGACGTTTCTTTTGATGACTTTAATTTAATTTAAATTTCATCCAAGGCCCCAACATAAGATACCTGCATAAAAATGCAAATGCATGGCCAATTTTAGTTAGTATTGACAGACTTGGATCAATTTTATTGGATAAATGTTTTATCGGAAATTCTGGTCGTCGTTGCAGTAACGTAGAAGCCAATGAGGTTTTCATATTATACATTATGACTCAACTAACTTACACGTCGTCCCAGAGCCTCTCATCAGGCCCTGAATGCAGACCGACCCATTGTTCATCAACAATTCAGGTATAACTTTAAAAGTTATGGTCTCTTCCCTAAAATTTTATATATAATTTATAATTATTATTATTTTTTGTTACTATATACAATTTCGCATATTAATAATTAAGTACATAATCACAGCACAATACGGGCCTTCATGCAGGCTTAAATCATTTAAGGGGAGCGTCTACCCTAAAATTGAAAATTTTTACTTTTTCGGTTTTCATACTAATTTTAAAGCTGACATTCTGCCCTATCCAACGGTACCACTGCCATCTCTCTACGTTGATTTATGATTTCACGACATTTCATGAAAGATATAGTTCGGATTTTATTTTGCAAAAAGTGGGGGAGGGCGGGGGTAAAATCGAAAAATTTCAAAAAATATCGGAAAAAATGCTCCCACACCCACAAAAATGAGAAACTCAAAAAACCGCTAAGTGACGTTTGTAGATATGGTCTTTACGCATCGAATGATATGTGTCTCGATGTTGTAGCTTGAAAATCCTAGGAGAAGATAGATTTCTACAGTACCCCCTTTTTTGGCCGTTTTCTAAGAATTTCACGTTTTCTTTCATTTTTTTCGAAAAATTCACACGAACAAAAAAGTCTTAGATTTCTGTTTTACATATGTGTACCAAATTTCAAAGTGATCTGTTTGTAAATAGCCGAGATAAATTTTAGGGTAGACGCTCCCCTTAAAAATTAGCGTTACAGCCGAATATGTAAAATTCAAGGAGGAATGTAGTAGTGAATTATTCACACCAGAATAATTTCAAGGTGCTAATTGCACCGCAGTTCATTCAATAAGTTGTCCGTGGCTGTACAGAAAACTGGGTGGGAGAAAATTTACATGCGAATCAAACTTTCATGTTTAAATCAATACTCGAAGTTGCTCTTGTCATTATCGGGGTAACTCAAGTAAAAAGCACAAGCGTGTTCGCAGCAACCGCAGAAGTAAGGTTAGTGCCAGTGGAACGAAGCAGATAAGTCTTTGAAAAACTTATTAGTTAATATTATTAATATAATCGTCATGAGCTAATTTCATTAATTAATATTACAATTATCACGAACAAAAAACAGTACTTAAGAAGTAGCATCAAAAAATTAGTTTGAGAAAATTAGTTGAATTTAATTAGCAGTTCGGGATTTGATTCAAGTTTATATGTAAATGACGCCTGGAGTCAGTTTTTTAATTGCCTTTTTAGCGTTTTTCAACTGAGCGATTGTGGCGCACGAAATGCTGCTTCTCTTCCATAAGCCAATTGAACTCGTAGCGATACTGAGAGTAGCGATACTGAGAGTAGCGATACTGAAAGTACCGATACTGAAAGTAGCGATACTGAAAGTAGAGCGATACTGAGAGCAGCAATACTGAAAGTAGCGATACTGAAAGTAGCGATACTGAGAGCAGCAATACTGAAAGTAGCGATACTGAAAGTAGCGATGAATGTTCACGGAATATTTACGATGAGATAATTTATACTCTAAAAATTTTTCACCAAATTGAATTTAAAGAGACTGAATATTTCTCATCTTAATCTTTTCACAGTGAGATCAATTAACCTGAACCAGTCAGAATTTAATAAGAAAAATCATCATTTTCTGATAATTTTTTTCAGTCTCACCAAAGGATCGTAGGCGTCGCCTAGGGTCATGCAAACAAGGCACTAGGAGCCTCCTTGGCTCTCCTTCACCGCCTCCTTCGGTTTCCCACTGAACGGAACGATGGACCGGATGCCTTTCACTGACGTCTATTTCAATGGAAAAGAAACCCGAACACTTTCAGTTACTAATTAAGTTCAAAAGGTACCCAAGTCATTGAGTAAGTTATTTAAATGATTGATTTAATGAAACAAAAGAAACAGAAACTGGATTTTATGATATGGTCGTTTTTTTGTATTTACTGAAATATTATGTGTTCATAGTATCAACAACAATACATTATATTGCCTGCATTGATATGAAGACAAATATATGGCAATCTAAAGCAGTCAGTGGTTGCAACCTTTAAATTTATTATTATGGTTGGTACAAAAATGGCTTACAATGGTTGCAATGATTATGCAACCTCAAACTTGTTGCGTCAATGCAACTGCGCCAATGATGTAGGCAAATTTGGCATCAGCATCAATAATTTTGAAGAATAATCAGGATGAACAGATAAGAATGTACACCACAAGTCCACGTTGTTTACATTGAGCGCAAATTGTAAGCTATATTGAGATATTTATAAAAAGTTGACATCGAAGGGAGTGAGGTCATGGTTTAGATAACAAAATAACCAAACCTGGTGTTAAGATGTCGACGAATTGGGATTCAAATTCAAATTTAGGGCATTTCATCATTTTTATCGACTGTCGAGTTTTTTATAGTTTGTATTTTAGAATTTTTTACAAGTTTCTGCTTTTAGTTCAACTCACGTATTGTTAACATTATAATTTATTATCCTCCGCATTCTTAGTTATTGACATGGTTTTATTTTGCGCCGCCTTTAATGCGATGACGACTCACAGAACGGAAATTTCTACCGGGTTTCAATTATCAAAATAAACCTTGTTTGGAACAGGCTGCAAATCATCAAAAATCTAGTTTCTATGCTGCCAAACTGAAATATACAAATCTCAATTGTATGCAAATTAATTTTATTGACAAACATTAACGTCATGCATCGTAGTGCGTAGTATTACGATATTAGAAACTTCTCAATCCTTGTAATATTCAACTGCAAAAAAACTACCGTTTTTTCCAATTCAACTAATGCATTACATGATGACTTCTTTCAACTTATTGAAAATCAATGACTTCTATCAACTAAAAAAATTAAGATTTAAATCGTAAAAAATTGTTTAAATTTGGCCAATTGAACATCGAGAAAAATCAAAGAACATAATCTTGCATTATACGAAATTGTGACATTCGAAATCAGCCGAAATCGAAGTTTTAATAAAAACGTGTGAACGAGTCACTGCCAACAAATTCTATGTTACACCAAGTGAAAGTCGTACTGACTACGTCGTGGTCTCTAAATCGTGCTCTCTACGTCGTGCTCTCTACGTCGTGCTCTCTACGTCGTGCTCTCTACGTCGTGCTCTCTACGTCGTGCTCTCTACGTCGTGCTCTCTAAGTCGTGCTCTCTACGTCGTGCTCTCTACTTCGTATCTAAATTAAAGTTATATGACTAAGTTGGGCGACATGTAATCAATGTGATTCATCGAGAATTTCTCAAGCTTGCCTTAGTGAAAAAAAGATTCACTATTCGTCGATATTTTATGGAGATCCTTCAGTAAACGAAACTATTTTAATTTTAACAACTAACGTCAAAATCACTTAAGTCGCCACAAAATTATGTCGTCCGCCTTCAATAGAAACGATCTATTATATAAACAAAAGTGAACCACAAGTCTCTCATGAGATTAAAACAGCTTCGACTTATTACGTGGCAATCGAATCTTACAAATCGTTTTTCTCGCCATCATTAATTATTTTACAGACCCTATTGACTAGCAGCAGGTTAAGTGCAGCATACCAATACGTCATTATTAGTAGTTTTAACGAATACTGATAATATATATGTGCTAACAATAATATGCAATGACTATTATACAGTTTACAAATTAATTCAAATTAATAAATAAATTGCATGTCAAGCAGGGTAGAGAGCAGGAAATTCCATGGATTTCGTTGAAATTAATATTGACTTAAGTCTTGTTTCATCTTCGCAATTATAAACAAGTTCCAATTGCTATTTAATTAGTGTGTAAAACTCATCAAACTTTGTACACAGGCCAACAGTTAATCAAAATAAATATAACTTAAAAACCATGAATATGAAGATTTATGATGAAACTGTATCATAAAAATTTATTTCACAAATAAAATATAAAAATATTTTGTTATGTCAATGCATAAGTTTCATTACAAGGGATCAGAAAACCATCTGTAGTGAAACTAAATGGATTATATTGCAAGAGATACAAATTTAGAGTATTTTATATACGCGTATACGCACCTTCTTCTTAGAGCCTGAGAGGAAATCTTTGTACAGGTCGGAGCGGAGGTACCGACAATAGCTGTCGCTGCGCATCAGCTGGTAGAGATGGGCCTATGCGAGACGTTTTCATTAAAATTTATTTTTTCAATATTGGTTATTTATTAGAGAGAATGGTTTATCATAATTTATTGCAAAAATGTTCTTGGTGGGCGATTGTACAAAAAGTTCTGGTAAAATTAAAATGTGATGGGTGCCATAGATACTTAAATGCGTTGGTGAAGTACCGTGGAGTTTTGCGATAATTTTTTTGGAGCAAATATTATATTTGGAAAACATAAGCATTTTTCTGGCTAAACAGAGTATTTCCAGCATTTCATTCTAAAGCCAACATTCCATCCATTTTTTTATCAATTTGCATAAAGAGAAAAGATTAAAGAACATATATGAGTTTATACTATTCGCTTGATTTTTTTTAATATTTTTTTTATAGTTACGTGTATGTCATAAAAATTCCATATGCAATTCCATCGTCTTTCATTGTGAAATTTATTTATCATTTATAAGTCATAAATTCACATTTCTCTGTCTATTAATTCTACTTACCTTCCATCAAACGCTTTCACGTTACTCCAAAACGTTTACTATTGAGTCAAAATTATCTAAATTCCCAAGCTTCATTGAACAGCCTTTCAGTGTTGGATTACTTTTCGTATTTCAAAAGGTCAACGTTCATAAATATTTTTTGTACCTGCCAAATCAATTAATTCGTAAAGTAATTTAAATTTCCTTTCCCACCAGACATTTAACTTCGAATTAACGCTAAATTAAACGTTATTTTCTTGAAAAACGTTGAAAACGTCTAGAAAACGTTCTTGAAAAACGAATTAAACGTTTTTTCTCTGTTATATGCCTGGTGTGCTGTGAGTCAATACATACAGCGGCTTCATCAAAGGTCCATCTGTCGGGATGTTCCATGTTCTGCCGGGTGATGTTCATTGACTTAGAGTCGATGTTGACGGGCGCCGAAGCTTCGGGTGCCAGAAATTCGTCCCAAATTGCCTGAACTTTCTCAGCGACGCTCTTTTGTGGCAGCGCCTTGAGCTCCTGAACTGCTGTGAGGAACCTGAGCAGCGAAAACACATCTCTACATCTCTTCAATATGTACTTTATTTAATGTACTTAATGAGTAACGTTTAAGAACGTGCGAATAACAATCGTATATTATCGTACTTAAGAACTAATGTACATTAACTTACTTAATAACTAATATACATTAACGTACTAAATAAGTCAAGTACATTAACGTACCTACTTAATGACTAACGTACATTAACGTATTTTAAACGAACGTACAGTAACTTACTCATAACTAACGTATATTACCGTACTTAATAACTAATGAACATTAACTTATTTAATAACTAACGTACATGAACCTTTTTAAAAACTAACCTACTTAATTTAACATAAAATTAGTTACTTAACTTAATTTATCACTAACGTACATCAACATGCTAAATAATTAACAAAGTAAAATATAACTATTATTCCACGTTAACAACAAAAGGGTTCGAGTTAACAAGCATTCTAATATAACATTTAAAACAAAGCTATAGTTGTAGTTGACGTGGGTGACATGCGCGCAAGTTTTGCGTGGTAGAAAATTCTAATTATTCTTCACTCCATTCTTATTCATTCTTCATAATCGAGTTAATGAGCTTCATAAAATAACAATAGAACATTAGACGTTGATTGAATGAGTTTGTGTCCGTGTGTATGTTCATGCGTGCACTGCTCTATTTTAAGACAACAGAGGCGCGGTGGGGCAGCTACGCAGCAGCTCGGGTGGCTACATACAACACGTCCGTTTTCTTTCAGTTACGAGCGAGACTCTGCAGCTAAAATTGAACTTGGAAAAAACAATTTAGGAATGGAATTTAAACAATTGTTTAGGTCTTCATTTTTTTATTGCAATATTGAAGTTCATCGATTATTTGTTTTTTGAGTGGTGTGATGAATGATGGTGATGAGTGGTGTGATGAATGATGGTGATGAGTGGTGTGATGAATAGTGGTGATGAGTGAAATTGCGCAAGTATCATTGTTTTGAGTTATTTTTAGCTTTAGGTATTCATTTTTTATTGCAATATTGAAGTTCTTTGATTATATTTTTCTGCACAATCAAACACAGGTTCATCGTCTCATCAGAATTTCAAATATAGCTTTGATCTTAGGTTTAAATTGAGATTTTTATGAAAACGAGAGAGATTAAACGATTTTATGTGAATAAAGGTACGTAAACAAGAAATTGTGCTAGTCAATAATTGTAAGTATAATATAGAATTAAACTTAGAAATTTGCGCATCATGAACATGAAAGATTTCGAGGATAATTTCGAAGTTTTAAGCCACGCATCTATATTTGTATTATAATAAACAAAACACATGCACTCACATAAGGTTCTCAGCGCTGAACTCCTTCTCTAAGAACTTGGTGAACTGTTCCCTCCCCAGGGGATCCTTGAGTAGCTCCTGCACTCCGAAGCCCCAGCGCCTAACTCGCCGGGTGGGGATCTCACGTCTGAAAATTTCCCCAAAATGAAATGCCGAGATCATATAAATTTTCAACATCTTTTACGTGTGTTGTTGAACTTACTATAGAATGCAAAATTTAATTTTACGTTTAAATTTTTTATTGCATTAAAACTAATTTGGTGTCAATTGTTGTAAATTGGTAAAAAAATATCGTAGAATTCAATAAAATTTTCCTGTAGTGAGCAATATATCTCCATCAACATCTATTACGTTTGTTGTTGAACTCACTATAAAACGCAAAATTTAATTTCTCGTTTGAATTTTTTATTGCATTAAAAGTAATTTGGTGTCGAATGTTGTAAATTGATAAAAAATATAATAGAATTCAATTAAACTTTCCTCTGGGGAGTAATCCTACAGATTCCAAAAAGTTTTCCCGTGCCGGGAATCGAACCCGGGCCTCGCGGGTGAGAGCCGCGTATCCTAGCCACTAGACCACACGGGATTGAGGTGAGATAGGCGCCAAGTTTATTTTGAATTTGTCTTCAATACATAAAATATTCTTTGTTATTGATTTATGGTCACGGCTGTCAGAAATTCCTTTTCAAGAAGTCGGAAACACAGATACACACAGTAACATTTAGATACGATTTTGTTTGAGGATTAAATCATCTTTTATAAGTTATAGGTTGCATTTTCATAGGTAAAAGGATAGCACAAATTAATCAATAAAATTTCTGCTTATTTCATACTGATAATTTCTCATCAAAACTACAATTTCAAACCTACGCAATTATCACCGATACAGAAACTATTATTCAGTCATCAATAGGTACCTCTTTAATTTTCAAACATCACTGAAAATTTGCATAATAAACAAGACAGCAACACAACAATCTTAGAAAATCACCGAAAATTTTGTGAATTTCAGCTATGGGGCAACAGCTTGTATAGTTCATTCCCAGGGTCTAGTGAATATGATGCGTGGCTCTCACTCTCGAGGCCAGAGATCGATACCAGGCTCGAGAATATGTTTTGAAATAGTCCCCAGAAATTTAAAAAATATAACTCGGTATTCACTGCATTGAGTGACAGAGAGCGCATTTTCTCGTCGACGAAAACGTGAAGTCACGGACGGACGCACAGACAGACAGACGGACGGACAGACGGAGAGACGGACATGGCGAGCACATTAGTGCATTTTTTCCATAAATAAGAAAATGCGCTATAAATAACTGTGACATATAGCATCTCTAATACAACGGCCTTAATCCTTATTCGGCGGCGTTTTTTTATAACGTTATTCAGTTAGTCTATACATTAAGAACAGAAAAAAAATAAATATTCCGCCATTGGTCAAATAACTGTAAAATTACTCAGATATTATTATCTGATATTATATTACTCTGATATATTATCTAAATGATATTTCATTTAGATATAAATGAACAATTGAATGACGCCGAACATTGGTCCCAGCGTCCCACACACTCACTTGACCAGCGGCATGCCAGGCTCCTGGGACGACGAAGACCTGAAGGAAATATCGCTAACTTAAATACAATAGTACGGAAAATGGCAAATATAATATGAAGTTCCTGAGGTACCAAAAAATGGCGTCTATAATATAAAACAACAGAGGTACGTCATTTGAAAATCTCCATTAATGCCTAAAGTCACACTAAATATCGACTAATTTTGTTAAATATGAGACACAACACAGATGCACAATATTTCAGCACCAGCATCGAACGAATGAACGCATTCATTCGATGAACAAACATATGATAAAGAAGACAACAACACATGCATTCGGTGTACATAAACGCATTCATCCTATAAATTTTGCCGTTTTCTGATGAATGAACATACGAATTTGATAAATTCGTCCGTCCTTCCGCTGAATGAACAAACGAATTTGATAAATTCGTCCGTCCTTCCGCTGAATGAACAAACGAATTTGATAAATTCGTCCGACTTTCTGCTGGATGAACGCATGTATTTGATAAATTCATCCATGTTTCTGATGGATGAAGACAAGTTCCCGATGAAGAAACTCGTGTTTTTGATGAGTAAGACTGGTTACTCACGCCACTCTATCGACGTCCCAGTAGTCAGGGCTGTCCGACACCCACGGGTTAGGAGGCTCACTCACGAACAGGTGAGGATCGTACTCACTGTACTGCTCGAAATAGTTCAGGTACCTGCCGGGGCATGATGGTTACTGTGAGGGGCATGATCGATACTATGAGGGTCCCGCCAGGGCATGATTATTAACTTAGAGGACCTGCTTATGCATGGCATTACAGGAACAGGTCGGTGCATGATGTTGCACCGCCAACGCATGAGCAGAATACTGCCATACTCCCAAAGCACTAAAGTTCCATGTAGGAAATTGACTAAAAATACAGAAATTATTGTGTACCATGTACCAGTAAACAATAATTGGAAATGATACTGGCATTCTGATAAGCTACTTACTGTATGACAAGATTCGTCTTATAAACGTATTATAATATCATCACATCTGCTGCCTACATCTAAATGGAAATACACTTAAATTTACGTACGAATCAGCAGCTTTTGAGACTTTGAAGGTGCATCGATCTATTTTAGTTTTAAGAATCTCGACTTCGGCTTTGAGTCTGTCGCGGGGGCTGTTGAGCTCAGCCTCGGATATAGTGGGTGAGAGCCGCCCCCCCGGCACACCTAGCGCCAGGTGCCGCGTTGATCGTAGAGGCTTGTTCATACGACATGCCTTCTTGATGTCTATCTCTGTTGTATTTACACACCCAGGCTGGAAAAATTAAATGAATTAGTGAATTAGATACTGAATAAAGATAATAGATTAGAATTACTATGTTGTATAGGAAGTATATGTTCATACGACACGCCTTCTCGATGTCGATCTCTGTTGTATTTACACACCCAGGCTGGAAAAATTAAATGATAGTGAATTAGCTACTTAATAAAGGTAATAGATTAAAATTACTATGTTACAAAGGAATTAAAATTACTATGTTACAAAGAAAGCATGTTCATACGACATGCTTTCTTGATGTCGATATCTGCTGGATTTAAACCAACAGGCTAGAAAAATTAAATGTACAAAGGAACAAAATTTATATGCGTATTGAAGAATCCTTTTAAGCTCTATTCATCATCTTGAATGAAGCTATTCCCACAACATAAAAGAATTTTGGTATGCATGGCGTCCATATAAAATGGTCTACATAAACCATGGCATTGTGGCCTCTGATTCTTTCATGAAAAATGCAAAAAAGCTGTAAAATTTAGGCCTATAGAGCCTCTCACATATGAAACGTATTTCACTTTTAAAAATTATCAGCGTGTACAACCCCCCTCCCCCCCCCCCCCCAAAAAATGGATGTGCATTGCACTCAAAAAATTTAATTTATTATTTTATCTAAATAGTGACCCAAATTTTTACATACAGTCCGGACGTGACAGTAATAAGCCTTTTTACCGAGACAAATTGTTTCAGGATGACCCAATCAAGAAGGATTTCCTCACTATCTGAGCAAAGTTTGACGCATATCTCGGTCATATCTCGGTTATATAGATATATATATAAAAACTAGCGGGAAACCCACCACAGGCCTGTGGACGTCCCAGAAAGCTCTCTCCTGAGAGTCCAGGACCTTGCGCTCCAGCTTATCCCTCTTCTTGTCAACCTTGCTCTGCGCCTCAGCCTTCAGGGCATTAGTATCAATATTATAGCAATTAACATTGGCTTTTCAATATAAAGCTTTTTAAAACAATGTGCAAAGGATCAATTGATCAACTCTTTATCAAAATCACAAGACATATTTTATTATTTTTAGTTCAATTCACCTGCATGAAGATGAACTCCCACTTGCGGCTGAACATTTTTTGAAGTCGGGCTAAATTTTCAGCCTCGTAATCGGCGAGCTCCAGGCGCGCTTTGTTCTGCATTGTGCGCTTACATAAGTACACGGCTGCAAGAACAATATAATGTAAGTACACGGCTGCAAGAACAATATAATGTAAGTACACGGCTGCAAGAACAATATAATGTAAGAACACGGCTGCAAGAACAATACAATGTAAGTACACGGCTGCAAGAACAATACAATGTAAGAACACGGCTGCAAAAACTAAACAATGTAAGTACACGGCTGCAGGAACAATACAATGTAAGTACACGGCACAATACTCAGTATATGTCTTGTTTGCGACAATATTTTGCCCTGTTTGGGGGCGCCCATACAAGTACACGGTCGTAATATAACAACATTAGTTTTCGTATGTGGTAAAGCTAAGTGATACCGTATTAGATTTTAGGTTAATAATGTCTCAATTGGATTTCAAGTCATCATGCACTGACGTGACCTCGCGTAGGAATCCGTTATAATTTATCATTATGATTTGCAATTCCACCGCAGAGGAGCATGGTTCAATTAATTGTGTTTATTTTTGTGTTATACATTCCTTACTGGATTCCAAGAGTTATATTAGAAAAAGTTTATCTTTGCTGGACGTGTCCGGTTTTTATTATTAGGATTATCATTTCAAATTCTAGTCTCCAGTTAAATAAGGCTATAAATAGAATATAAAGAGATTGAACTTTTCGAGCTTTGCCTTTAGCACAGGTTCTCGACTGTGTGTTTCATCTTATTGTGTAACAATTCAAGTGCTGGTTGGTAGGAAGTACCTTACAAAATAGTTATTCTACATCTTGAAAACGGAACATTTCTCTTGGAAATTCGACCTACCGGAGTTGCATTTATTTGTTCTGAAGGCCTGCAGAGTCAATATCTTTTTTGACTTCAATATGACTCACCATAGTCAGTGTTCTCGGGCTCCCAGCAGTTCGACGGCCAGAAGTAAGGGGTCTGTGAAGAATAAAGATGTTGGCAACTATATCCATATGTAACTTTTCTGCACAAATTTTTGATTGATAACTACGATATCCATGTATCCGTGTCACGCGTCATGAATGAATATAGTTTTCGATTTTATTTAATTCTTTGTGAAACCATGAAAAAGAAACCACCTGAAATTAATAAATTAATATCTTGACGCAGACCTGGAAGCGATAGAAGGTGTTGTCGTTCTTGATGGTGAGGACGTGGTCGTCTATCGGGAAGAAGTAGCCGTGGGCCGACATGAGATGCGACAGGTGGAGTGCCTCCGCTGTTTGTGGAAATAAATATAAATTTGCTCATAAAAAGTATTTTTCTGTTTATTCAATTTCTGATGATGCCCTTTAATCATTGCCAGACTATACTTCACAACGTTACAATCTTAGCCACCAGACTGCAATAACTCTAGAAGCTTTCAGGTGCCGCTTTCAGCCATGGCCTGAACATTGGACAGAAATGATGCGGCTCTCATAGGTGATCCCAACCTAAATTCAATTCCTTCTGCGTCCTAAATACCGCTCTCTAAGTAACTCAATCACTTGTTTTAGCCCTCTAAGTTACTCAATACATTCATTTATGTCCTCGAAATCTTTATCCCACCAAAAATCTGGGTCCTTGATATCTCTCACCCGCTCACCTGGGTCCTCGATATCTCTCACCCTCTCACCAGGGTCCTCGATATCTCTCACCCGCTCACCTGGGTCCTCGATATCTCTCACCCTCTCACCTGGGTCCTAGATATCTCTCACCCGCTCACCTGGGTCCTCGATATCGAGGTTTTTAAGCATCCACGATATAAGCTCGACGCCGGTGAAGACTGACGGGATTTTGGACATGAAACTCTTGACGGTTCTGACGGGGACGCCGCGTTCCTCGTCTTGCATCCTCTCCACCAGCGCCTCCATCTGAGGAACAACGGCCCATTAGCAAATGTACAGCTTACAGTGGTCCCACTGGGTGAGATTTTAGCGGTAAAGAAAACAATTGTCTACTACTCGGTAAACAATACTCGTGAATGGAGTTCGTGAAGGGAATTATAGTATTAATAATAATTTATAGTAAGCGTATTATGGAAGAATTAACAATGGAACATCATATTTTTTTCTGAAGACTCGTAACTACGGTAATCTGTCTTCTTGATAAATTATATCAGTTTATTTGATAAACAAATTGATATAATAAACAACGATCATGCACCTTCTTGTAGACGATGTGGTTGGGAGTTTCCTCTGGCGTTGCGCCGATGCCTGTGCTGCTCTGGCCATTCTTGACGCCCGCTTTGATGGCAGACTTTGTGGTGCTGTTGCTGCTGCTGCCACCTACTATTGGGGTGTTGGTGTTACTCCTGTTTGTGGAGCAGGTAGTTATGGTTGTCTTGTTAGGTATGGAGGTGTTGGAGGTCGTGGTTGTGGTTGTGGGTGCAGCTCCCTTTTTGCGCACTGCCCCCCGGTCCGATGTCGACATGCTGACCATGCCTCCTAACAAACCAACATTCTGTGGACAAACAGAGGCTGATTATTCCGCCATATACAACATTTTTACCTAAAGTAATTCTTAAGGTCATTTGTAATTTAAATGTGTTGACCGAAAAGTTTATAATTTTATTTATTTCTGGAAGTGGGATTGCGCTAAAAATTCTCTATAATTAAAAGCTTTCGTTATGTATCTTCAATGAAATAGTGAATTCCAGCAGTGAACAACGCTCACGGTTATTCATAGAAACTTATTCATTACACGTGTTTTTCAATATTGCGTTTGAGAATCGAAACTAAATTTCTGGCATGTGCTGTGTTACTGTCTTAAAACCACTAACTTTGTTTACTCAATTTCAAGTATTTTATCTGCTGTTATGTGGAGCGCTTTACAATTTAAATTCAATAACTAGAATCTTGATGACGATTACGAGCGACAGAGTCACGCTCCCTATCGCGAGTAGAGCGATGGCCCTCATCAATATTAGATCCTATTAAATGACTTGTCTTGATATCACTCAAAAATAAGTGGGTTATAATGTTCAAATAGTTGCCTACTTTTTCACTCACAGCACCAACAAAGAACGGACGTAGCAATGATACTCCGTTTCTTCAGGCCACACTGAGGCAGGATGACTCACACAAGTACCAAAAGTGCATCGCCGTTGGTACCATGCCTCTTTCTAATCTCTCAGTGGCATGTTATTTTCGCCTACGATGTGCAAATGATCCTCCGTAACTTTCGTCAGACTGCAGGATTTTACAACGTTTCAATCTTGCCTAATGTAGGTTTTATATAGGCTGTCCGAAATGCATTAATCTTTGCTCGAGTCTATATGAAAAGTTGCATACGTCATTGCGAGAGCCGGACGGGTGAAGTGCCACCGGCAATTGGCCATTTCCTGAGCGCCTGCCGTGGCATAAGTCAGTCTTATTGAGCCTTTGTGAGGCGTTAGTAAGAGAGTATGTGGATGTTTCATGGAATAAGGTTTCTTCTTGTACAGTTTACTGTAGTATTGATGCAGCTGAGACTTCATGAAAATATCGACTTGGATCATACTTCAATGCCTCATCACTGGAACCGTATGTTCCAAACTCACATTTTCTGAAGCCTATATTTTAGGCTGTAAAGCTGTCTCGCTGTAACCGGATCAGCGGACCTAAATATGCTCTCGTCGTGACGAAAGAGAACTTGGATTGTTGTCAATGTTTTTCTTGATTTTCGAAAAGTTACTATTTTACTCAAGTTTAATTTTGTTGCTGATGGCGGATTAATGCCCACATGTACTGGTCAGGGGTTTCTCGTTAGGAGCACAGCAATGATATCCGCTGTAAGAAGTAAGTATACCAGCCGAGCTAGGCCATCAATCAAACAAACAGACGACAACAGCATGAAGCTACGGACGTGACAGATGACTGTATATGCTGATGCCCAAAATTATATCGACATCCGCCAATAATTACACACGAGTGCAGGACCGAGTACAACGTTCGCATTTACACCTGCAGGGAAAGGCAATATCGCGCTTGCAGAGGCTATCAATCACGAAGGCTGAAGCTCATATTTTTGTCTGCATTGGTAATCAATCAGATTGTCGTATTCAAAAATAACCACCAATATTACCTCCTGACACTTTACTTATGCCTGTTGAGGCAGGAAAGAAATCCAGCCGAGGGCAGCAATTATACAAGCAGCGCAATCAATTATTCTGTCAGAGATCATACGTACGTCTTGTTCCACAAATTAGATCTGCGCGGTACGGAAATTTTGTCTGTAAAAGTTAAGAATTCGGGCATGTAGGCACAATTGCTGCCTGCAGAGACCAGAAACTTAACCTTTGAGCGGCAGCAACTATATGGTTGCAGAGGGTAGCATTTATACCTTATTCAAGAAGTTTCGTGTGTAAAAAGGAGAAATGTTTTATGCAAACACCTACAATCTACATTTACACGCTAGCGACAGCATTAGTGCATGCAGACATCAGTGGGAAGCCTTCAAAACCTAAGCTTTTAGACGGCGCCAACTCAGCCTTTTGGTAATAACAATGAAACCTGCAACTGCTAGAAATTGCCGCAGTTAGTAGCATTATGCCAGTAGAAAACAGAAATCTCGCCAACAGAATACGACGGATACCGACTACAATTATTTATGCCTGGGCGTATCAGCGCGGTTTAGGGCCACGCCAGGGCAGTTTAGTGCCGTGGCAGGGCTGTTTCTTTAGGGATGCATCAGCACAGTTTAGCGCTGCGGTGGCGCAGTTTAGTGCTGTAACAGAGTAGTTTGAGTCGCGTCAGCGCTGTTTGGGGTTGCAACCGTATGGTTTAAGGCCGCGACAGAGCAGTTTGAGTCGCGTCAGCGCTGTTTGGGGTTGCGACCGCATGGTTTAAGGCCGCGGCAGCGCAGTTTGAGTCGCGTCAGAGCTGTTTGAGGTTGCGATCGCATGGTTTAAGGCCGCGACAGAGCAGTTTGAGTCGCGTCAGCGCTGTTTGGTGTTGCCACCGTATTGTTTATGGTTTAAGGCCGCGACAGAGCAGTTCGAGTCGCATCAGCGCTGTTTGGGGTTGCAACCGTATGGTTTAAGGCCGCGGCAGAGCAGTTTGAGTCGCGTCAGCGCTGTTTGGGGTCGCGACCGCGTAGTTTAAAGCCGCGTCAGGGTCGGCAGCGAACGCTCGCTCGTCGAGTTTTCCCCTGACGCCGCGGCCAAGATCATCTCCGCCTGCCTGGCGAGAGCGAAGCGCCGACAAGGGAGCGTGCAGCTTTAAGAGACGAGTGAACTGTGCCTGCTGCTCTCTATAGCCACCTGCTGTCTCTTTATAGCCACCTGCTGCTCTCTAGTGCCACCTGCTGCTCTCTATATGCCACCTGCTGCCTCTCTACAGATACCTGCTGCTCTCTAGTGCCGCCTGCTGACCCTCTACAGACCTGCTGCTCTCTAGTGCCACCTGCTGACTCTCTACAGCCACCTGCTGCTCTCTAGTGCCACCTGCTGACCCTCTACAGACCTGCTGCTCTCTAGTGCCACCTGATGACTCTCTACAGCCACCTGCTGCTCTCTAGTGCCACCTGCTGCTCTCTAGTACCACCTGCTGCTCTCTAATGCCACCTGCTGTCTCTTTATAGCCACCTGCTGTTCTCTAGTGCACCTGCTGCTCTCTAATGCACCCGGCTGCTCTTTAACGCCACCTGCTGCCTCTATACAGCAACCTGCTGCTCTTTAACGCCACCTGCTGCCTCTCTACAGCAACCTGCTGCTCGTTAGGGCCACCTGCTGGCTCTCTATAGCAACCAGCTGCTCCCTAGTGCCACCTGCTGCTTTCTAACGTCTCCTACTGTGTCTCAACAGCAACCTGCTGCTCTCTAGTGCCACCTGCTGGCTCTCTATAGCAACCAGCTGCTCTCTAGTGCCACCTACTGCTCTCTAGTGCCACCTGCTGCTCTCTAGTGCCACCTGCTCTACAGCCAGCTGCTACTCTCTACAGCCACCTGCTGCTCTTTATCGTGCCAATTGCTGCTCTCTACAGCCACTTGCTGTTCTTTAATGCAACCAACTGCCCTTTACTAGTCCACCTGAAGCTTGCTAGTGGTACCAGCTACAACTGTCACTACCACCTGCTGCTCATAAGTCATCTGTGTCACGCTCATATGGCACCCGCCTTCTATGGAGTCAAATTTTAAATTCTATCAATATTATTTAAAGTTTTTATTTTGTAATCCGTATTGTTCGAGTTATTCCTGCACTGTTTAGTTATCTATGGGGAAGTCCTAGTTCATTTAGCGAAATCATTACTAAAACATTTATATTCACGTAAATTTTTTTCACTTCCCTTAATTCCCAGTCTAATTTACTCACACATTTTTATTTTTTCTCGTCAGTTTAGTTATTCATCATTAAATTTAACCATAATTCACTAAATAATTAATATATGGAGCCACTGTTATTTCCCTTCTATTTTACATGTTTTTTTTTCGCCATCATCTTCTTTTAATTCGTTCATCTCTCCTTCCCTAGCTCCATTTCATATTTCGTTCGACACCTGTTTTCGCCTCGACACTCCTCAGTGTCTTAGCCTACTTCATTGTTCTTTTTTCGGGATGAAGTTGAGATTTTTCCTACGCCATCTAAAAATATCAAGGAAATTGAAGGCATTAGAGCATCAGTCGCCGCTGTCTGAGGCTTTATTACTGCCGTTGCGCGGCCCTGAGTTTCGTTGGCCTCAACCATCGGCAATTGCGTGCCTCTCCAACGCGGTTTGTACATATCACGAGCACAGCTGATGACCAAACAAGGTACTATATGAATCATGAATTAAAAAACTATATCTAAAAATAATGATATACCCATAATACAGTAATATAAAAAACGACCTTTATATAAAAGTCTTTGTAACAATATATTAACCTGAATTTATGTAGTAGTCCATGGACCAAAACGAAGGATTCATCTACTAACATGCGCATACTCAGATTCTCACTAACTGATGCATCAACTTCCAAATTGAACTATTAATCTAGTATATCAGAGCGAATAATATAATGTGTTGACTTTTCTCAATTTATTTATTAATCGTGTACATTAGTGATCCCATAATTCGGAATACGCAAGCAAACTCTCACTACGCGCGTGTCGGCGCTGTGCATTGAGGGCGTCGCGTAAACAGAGCCGCTGCTGCTAATAGCCTTCTTCTTCAGGCGTGGCCCAGCAACAGCAGCCTGCTGGCCACGTATGGCCCTACGTGGCCTTTCTAGAGCCTCAGCATGTGTCCTGACTCGTGCCTCAGCCCGTGTCTTGACTCGTGCCTCAGCCCGTGTCCTGACTCGTGCCTCAGCCCGTAACCTCATCCGTGCACTCATACCTCATCCGTGCACTCGCCATACCTCGTCTTTACATCGTACCTAGTAAGTGCAGTCGTTCCTGACCAGCGCAACCGCACCTGATAGGTGCACTAATATCTTGTTTATATCTCCAATTATATACCATCTTAAACCTTCCTCAATTTTAAAGTTTATTTAATAACAAAAATGAAAGTATCCATTGCAAATGATCAATTCACCACCCGATGTTTATGCTTGTATAATGATACTTGAATGAAATATTCCCTCTCACTTGAATAGCAGTGAAGAGAAGTCGCTGCCTCTTGACTAATTCTTTCTTGGTTATTTTAAAACACAATAAATTGAGAGCACAACCTATGCGAGGCAACTATTCATGACAAATAATTCGCCTGTTCAACTATTTACCTGCGAACCAACCTGCACAACACAAACTTTTTTGAACATGAATTTTATAGATATCTTATATCTGTGTTAAACTCATAGTACGATTGTTCTCCGGTACATATTCTTGTACATATTCTTATTTTTGTGGACTTTTCATAAAAATCATTAAAATTTCACAGTTCATGTACGAAAATTTTTTTCCAAATTCCATGAGGTAAATAATTACGTCTTAGATGAACACTAAGCTGCGTGGGGTTCCTACACAAATGTTATTTCCTAATTATTTTTCATTTGTATAATCATTCAAATGAGCTTAAAACTTTATTATTTTCCTTATTTTCTCTTTCATATTCGTTAGTTAAGGCTCTATAATTAACAAACCACATTCTACGAAATCACAGAATTGTTCACGTTTGTAAAGAAGCCCAGTGCACGAATCCAGGAGAGAACACAGTTTGTTGTCAAATATTCTTTCAGAGTGAGAACTGAGCTCGCTAGTACAGTACAATTACCATTGCTGAAAACAGAACAGGGTTGGAAGTAAGATAAGCAACTGTTATTGCAATCAAACTTTGTTTTTCTTCAAGTTGCGCTAAATGAGACAATTTTAAACTTTTTAATGCTTAGTTAGTGTTCCACTTAACATCCTATGGTATTCAGAGAATCATATGAGTAGTTCGATACTTGCACTTATGGATGGAAGCAGTTGATCAAAATTAGAACAATTTTCATCATCATCCTTAACCATCCAAGCTTTCTGGGTGGTTCAAAATAACATAGCCTTAATATTCGTTGAAGTGACATTATGAATCTTTCCTTCATTAATTTTTTTCATTGAAGTTCGTATTAGTGATCGTATTCAATAAAATAAATATTTCTTTAAAGACGCTCATTCCTACCGTTCCCAATCTTGACTGAAGACAGACTGAGCCAAAGCACCTTGATAATCTAACTCACCGGACGTTTAGGTGTTACCAGACTGATAACCACGTCGCAAGTTACTACTTTGTGCCAGAGTTTTCAGCTAGAACCTTTTCATTTCAATGGTCTTGGAATTTATTGACAAGTGTACATGCTACAACTTTTCCGTTCAATGATCTTGGAGTTTAGTGAGAATTAATTCCAAATATCGGACTGCAGTACCTCCAATCAAAAGTTAACAGCAAGTTAACTATATTAACAATGCAGGAAAAAGGCATCGAATGGCTCGAAAGTGGCATATAAGTCTTTGATCTTCTAACAGCTGAGTTGCGTTTCCTGTGTGTTTACTGGCGATATTTGTTATTCTATAAGTCTTGGTCCACTTCATATGGATAATTAACTTAGCACTACATGCTAAGAACTGTTGATTCGAAGGACCGTAGCGCTGCATGTGGTGCGACGGAGTATGAGACGTGATAGCGTCAACAGGTCGCAGGCTCGCCTGTTACATTTCATGTATTTGAACTTAGGCGACTTCGTCGCTCTGTATGTATCGCTGATTAAAATATATATTTTTTAATTAGTTTTCCCTAATCTCAAATACTAAATGGAATGTAATGGATTGTAAGAAGGTGCGTCATTACAGATATTACGTTGTTTCCTCTGTAACTTTAATTCTATGAATTAGAATCATCAGTTATAAAATTGAGATTAAATTTGTTTGAATAAAATTCTAGTAGTAAACAATTGCGTCGCAATTTATTAGTTTAATCTAAAATAAAAAATGATATTATTGGGACTTTGTTCGTTATTTCTCGTTATCTTGTTATCGTCGGTTTATCAACGCACCTCAGGATGCAAAAAGTATTAATCCGAGCAGTGATTACCTGTTGAAATATTTTGAATTATCGATTGACATTCTAGTCGAAAAATATATTGAGCATCATTTTGAGTGATAAGTAACCAAATCAAAAATTATTCTTTAAAAGTCAAAGCGGCGCGTTTCAGCTAAAATAAAAAAAAATCAAGTCAGACATTCATGAAGAGGTAAAACAATTGTTAAGCTGGTGGAACCGGCGTAATTGTAGAGGGTGTTAATCATAACAATTAATCAAAAATTCTTTAGTTACGAGGTATCATCTATAAATCAGTCACAGAATTCTTACGCAAAACTTCATTATTTTCTTGAATGAATAAGTGTTAACATCTCACATGGTGCTATTTTGATAAGGTACCTAGCACATTAAAATGTCTATCACCAAATCGAACATGGTGGAGGTATAGTAGCTTTTTCAAACTATTGTCAGTTCTGAAAAGGTCCGGTCAAATGACCTGTTTTTAGATCTCCTGAGTCACGAAAAGTACAAGAATCGACGACAGGCCACATCTGGCTTATTCTTCAGCACCGGGAGCACTATATGACTAGCGAAGCACAATCAGTTCAATTTTTGTGGATACAATAAAAGGTCTCGGAGAAAAATTCGTTCATGCCTTTGCTCCACCAATACGATACTACAATAATTTCGTGCTTTATTTACTAGATGCAAACAACTTGCAATTGATTGTTTGCAGCCAGTAACCAATTATTGTACATTTTGCGAGTCGTGATCATTAAGTATAGCCCACTTGACGATTCGATTTAGATTGAGTAGTTATATCTCGGTGCAGCATTACCCTCCTTGAGTAGTTATATACCCTCCTCGAATTTCAAGATTTGTAGCAAATACTGTAGGAATGTTTATTGAAATAAATTTTGAAAAAATCTCTCAACCAGAGAGGCTCCATTGTTGATATTTTACTGGCAAACGCGATACCAGAGACATCGAACGAAAAGTAAGTTACAATTTTTTAATCAGATTTTGATCGCACGGATTGGATTTCATTTTATGTGACAGGGCATTTCATACAAATGCTAAATTTTAGCATTCGCAATTCGCAAATTAGAGCATCTACCTCTTCACTGTTACTTAAATACATTTCTTAGATACATTAAACGGTTTACGAAGCAAATTTGCATGAGCATTCGCGCTCTCAATGAAAATCCTTTTTGATATTGTGATTCATAACGACATAACGGTAAGTTCGAACTTGTTTACCTATCGGTGAGAATTACAAATGGATAAATCTTATTTCTTTCATACGGATATTTTTCACAATTAATGGTCAAATTCGCATCTAGGACATCGTAAAAATTAATTTCTCTGCTGAAAAAAGTTTATCGATCTCATGATGGTATGCCTAGTCTATTTCAGGCGCTGTAGCTTCAACTACGAATGTTTGAACCAAACACCCCAGCCTGCCTACCGAGTTTGCGGGAGATTGCGGTCTCAGAAAACATCGTCCCACGCGAACGCGTCAAAATGTCCTATGTTTCTGGAAAATTTTTTAGTCATGAGACCCACCCACGTTTACTTCGCTGGAAATATGGATGAAAATTTCACATAGAATTAAAAAATCTAGCAAGTACAGAGCACGTCGAAGTTTCTATAGTAACTATTTATTATATTATCGTCACCCATGACTCTATAAGCGGGTTTTCGGTTGAACTAATTCAAGTCGGATAAATATTATAATATGGATTTTAACTTGAATTGTCAGGAAATAAAAAATTATTATGACGTATTATATGAACTATCATTATAATATTATTTCAGAAGACAACCAATTTACAGCTTACAACGGTTCTGAAGCAATCAACCTATTCTTCGAAAGTTGAAAATGCCTTGAAAACAACACCACACCCCACAACTCCTCTATCTCCCCCAAAATAAAAAAAATGCCTTGAATTACTGATCACAATTATATGAAATAATCATTCCATATATGTGAGAAGCAACAACCCATGTGCATATTTATTAAATTTCAACACGAGAGGGATCGAACGCTACTGCGTAAGTGAATTAACATTTCGTCGGTTTACGCGCGAGACTTCGTGTTCGTAAACTGACTCACTGATAACGATGTCCGATCAACAGCATAGCGCGATGTTTGGCCAGCGATAGTGAAGTCTGTAGAGTGTGATGTGAAGCGTGTGATGGTGAAGTGTGTTGATGGTGAAGTGTGTAGAGGGTGAAGTGAAGCGTGTAATATTGAAGTGTGTAGAGGGTGAAGTGAAGCGTGTGATAGTGAAGTGTGTAGAAGCGTGTGATAGTGAAGTGTGAAGAGGGTGAAGTGAAGCGTGTGATAGTGAAGGGCACAGAGGGTGAAGTGAAGCGTGTGATAGTGAAGTGTGTAGAGGGTGAAGTGACGCGTGTGATAGTGAAGGGCATAGAGCTTTGAGTGAAGCGTGTGATAGTGAAGGGAATTAAGCTATGAAGTGAAGCGTGTGACAGTTTAGTGCGTAGAGCTTGATGTAAAGTGAATGAAAGTGAAATGCATAGAGCGCGAAGTGAAACGTGCGATTGTGAAAAAAATAGGGCTTAAAGTATAACGTGTAATGGTGAAGTGTATAGGGCGTCAAGTACAGCATTTGACATAGTGAAGCGTAGTAAGCTTAAAGTAAAGCGGTGAGAGTGAATTGCAGAGAGCTTCGAGTGAAGCGTGGGGCAGTGAAGCGTTTAAAGAGTAAAGTTAAACGTGTGACAGTGAAGTTTATAGAGCTTTAAGTGAAGCTTGTGATGGTGAAGTGTGTAGAGCTTCAAGTGAAGCGTGTGATAGTGAAGTGTGTAGAGCTTTAAGTGAAGCGTGTGATGATGAAATGTGTAGAGCTTTAAGTGAAGCTTGTGATGATGAAGTGTATGGATCTTTAAGTGAAGCTTGTGATGGTGAAGTGTGCAGAGCTTTAAGTGAAGCGTGTGATAGTGAAGTGTGTAGATATTCAATTGAAGCGTGTGATGATGAAGTGTGTAGAGCTTTAAGTGAAGCGTGTGATACTGAAGTGTGTAGAGCTTTAAGTGAAGCGTGTGATAGTGAAGTGTGTAGAGCTTTAAGTGAAGCGTGTGATAGTGAAGTGTGTAGAGCTTTAAGTGAAGCATGTGATAGTGAAGTGTATAGAGCTTTAAGTGAAGCGTGTGATAGTGAAGTGTGTAGGGCTTTAAGTGAAGCATACGTCTCAAAGAGCTGTAGCAGCAAGTTGTTTCTAACACGATATATCAACTCTTAAAACAACGTCGGGG